CCAATAAAATACAACTTTCATCACATATAGTTTAATGGCATTCTGGATGCAAGTCTGGTCTTGGAGTCATTCTCACTTTTACAAAGCTGAATTATGTCATTTTTATATTCCTATATCATTTAAAATATGATTTTGAGGGAGAAAAAATATGCTTTGTGGAACATGAATAAAATCAATTTAAAAAATAGAAAAGTTGTGTCTTAAAATAAACTTAAGGCAATTTATGAAATTTCTGTAGAGAAAATTGAGGTAGATAGTCACAATATCGGACTTTCGATATGATTGTATCCCACTCTCCCCTTTATTGAGAATCACCTAGTAAAGGGAGGGAGGGTAGTCTTTACTAATTGTTAACGCATTAAATAAATGTTTACTCAGAACCAACTCTAGGATTAGCCCTCAACCAACCATCATTCTAGCATTTGCAATGGTCTTTGGCTGTGAGGGTAGGGAAGGAAAGTGTCTGAAGGTTCTAAATGCAAATGTTATTCTACTAGGGTGCTTTCTAAAGAGACAGAAAATCACATCTATATATACTTATACCTACTAATAGAACTTAAAAAAAACAAGACTTCTAAAAGTAAGAAGGTGGATGATATTTATGATAGGAAACGGCACATGACATTTAAAACCCAGGAAATAAAAGCTTGGGACATGAGAGAAAAAAGGAAACAGTATTGGCCCTGGTGCTTTGCCATGAAGTGGCAATGGAGATTTAGTTGGCAGCCACATATGGCGGAAGCAGCTAAATGGCATCCCTTGAACTTTTTTTTCTGACCTTTTGAAGTTGCCAGGTTCAACTAATTTTCTCCTTGTGGTTACATCTGAAGCAGGTTCTAGAGGCAAGAACCAACAGTTCAGCAGAAATATATTGCTCATCACAACTTTCTATGGGAATAAAATGAGAGAGGACTAATAGCTCTTTGGTTAATTAAGCCCCAGTAAATCAGATGACAACCTTGGTCCATCAAAATATTATTGTATTTCACAAATATGCATTTACGAGATTCTGGAACAATTTTTCCAGCACCACAAACAGATAATTTTTTTTAAAGACTGGTCAATATACAAATCCAAGAAGCCAGGAGGGCAAATCAAATAATGTAAGGCAGATGAAATGGCAAAGGAAACAAGATAAAAATCTCAGACTTGAACAATACATGAGTTAGTTTTCCGGGCATGTTTTCAGGTTTTCTAGAACTAAGCTTCCTGTGTGTGTGTGTGTGTGTGTGTGTGTGTGTGTGTGTGTTTGTATGCATGTACACCACATAATACAGCGCAACAAGAATCAGCCTTGGTTTAATTCTACACTGTGTAGGAGGTACACAATACACCAGTTGGGAGACACCTCCTAAACTAAAAAGCAAAGTTAGTCCATTTCAGCTGTAAATGCCAACAGTGCTGAGAACAGAGAAAAGTGCATTTATTTTTCTGCTTCTCTGAATAACATTTTAAGAAATATAAAATAACTGAAACCAGTATCAGCAGCACCACGGAGCATAATATTTCCCAAAAAACTCTTGGGACCTTAGATTGCATCTATAATCGAAAGGCTACTCTGATTTATGCTTGTTCTTTGATTTTTCAAACATAAAACTTTGCTGATGGACCAGAAAAGTGTGGTTGGAAATACAAATTGAACGTCATTTTCCCCATGAGAAGCTTTTGGTTTTGCATAGAAAATTTGCTCAGATTGGAATGTTGATAAAGCCGTAAGGTGTGCCACCTTGAGTAGAAAAATAAAGATTATTATTTGTTTTCTTTAAAGTATTAATTTACTTATATGAGAATAAGGTTATCTGAACAGTTGATGAACTATGGATTCTAACTTTTCTATACGGGTTTATGCCTTTTTCCTCACGAATAAACAATGAAGGGAACCTGGAAAGCAAAGCCCTGAGGTAGAATTTCTTGAATAGAATCATTATGCCTTAATTATTTGAAGTTGCATTGCATTGCTCCAACATTCTGATGCTCCCTGCTAACAAGGACTATCAGACTTTAAATCTGTTTACAAGGAAATGTTGCATCATGAGTGTATTCATCTAACAGCCTTTACAAACGCCTTCTCAAGTGGTCTATTCCATCCTGCTGAGTATGTTTTATGGGTTGTTTGTTTATTTGTTCATTTTTTTACACAGAGCATACCACCACTGGCTACTTAAAGTGTGTTCAGTGCTAAATTAAGGGGTCGCCTTAGATGAATTCTGTCTTGAGCAGAGTGCCACATGATACCCTAATAAAGTTATTTTCAGGTTAAAGACTTCCTTCCCTTTAGAGTTGATATGTGTACAGCACACAAAGGGAGCTGCTATTCTAGTGAGAGCTGCTATAAGACTGTTCTTCAGCTAAATTCATAACCCCTTCAAGAGCTCAAGAAACGCAAGCCGGACACCAATAATGCAGCCAAAAAAAATGTTAAGAGTCTTAGGTGGAGAGATTTACTCATCAGGAGTCTTGAGAGTTTTAGGAGACTATAGATTATAAAGCAGAATAATTGATTTTTAATAGTGATAATAATTGGAAATACAAGATCCAGGTTGCAAGGGAGAAAGATTAAAAAGTTCGACTGACAGCATTACAGCAGAAATTTCAGAGAACATTAACCAGTGTCTCTAAAATATCTGGCCTATTTGTGATGGTCTTGGGATACCCACTCATTGGGGTGATGTGGGGAGCAGAATAAGGAAGATGAACTGCCACTGAAGAGCCCTAAATGAAGCAATCCCCAGAGTTACTGGGAAGGCTCTTCTCTCTGTTTTCAGAACAGATTTTCTCAACTCCAAGCCCTCTTCAGAGTCCAGAAAAAAATATATCAATGGTGATTTGAAATCTTGTGACCGCTCCAGCATGAAATGACTATGCTATGGGGAGCTTCAAATCTGCTACAGCAGAATTACAGAATATTATTATTAGTATTATTATTTAATAAGAGAGATAACCCTAGAATTTCTTTCAGCCACAGAGCTCAGGGAAGTGGAAAAACATGTCTGGACATGATGATTATGGAGATCTCCCTTTGAGGGGGGGAAAAATGTAACCCTCAGAGAACATCCTTCAAAGGTGTCAGGCCTCTAGGTAAAAGAATCTCTCTTTCTGTCTCTCTCTCTGTCACACACACACACACACACACACACACACACACACACTCTCCAGATAAAATCCCTGCAAAACTGGACACAGCTGATGAAAGGCAATAGCCAGAAATTTCAGGCAGAAATTTCAGTGGTGTTTAGCAAGAACGACGGGGCTCATTTTGCATGCAGTGAGGTACAGCGGCGAGGTTTGAATGGATGGAAAATCCCACTCTCAAATCTTACATAAATGTCTCTTTCCCACATATAGTTTTCCAGTTGAAAATCTCCTATAATGAAGCAAGAGGTGACAGCCCAGGGAGGGTTGTTAACCACTGAGATGGCTGTCAGGAGTGCTGTAAAGAGGACAGGCGCTTCAAAACGGCCCCAACCAACCCCAGTCCCTCCTCTCCGCTTGGCGATGGTACCGGATGCGAGAGGGCAGTGCTCTCGCATCCCTTCTCCGGTGTCCCCTCCTTCCCGTTGTCAGCCCACAAATACTGCTAAGCCCGGTGAAAGAAAGCCGCCGAATGATCTGATTAGCAGCTCCCGGCGCGTTAAGGGATGGTGCCTCTTAAAGAGGAAACTCTTGCGGAATCTTCAGGAAAGGGTGGTAAAGTTGAAAGGACCTTTTCTCCCTCCCGCCTGCTCGGTTATAAGCTCTATCCTTTAATTGGAGCTGAAGTGAGCAGCTGCCAGCCTGATTTTCTATTACAGACTAATGTTGTGCGTTTGCAACAATAAACAATTAATGTTGTTTGATTTCTTACATTTAGCAACCCAAGCAAACAGCTGCCATCTCCGCTCGCGAAGGCAAACGGCTAGTCCTTGACGTGCCGCCGGCTCGGTGCCTGCGGGGAAGGGTCAATGATAACGAAACTTGGAGGTTTCACCGGATTGGGCGGGGGACGGCTTTGGTCTTGGGGAGGGAAAAAGCGGAGGAAACTGCGGATACCTGTTGGCATCCGCGCTGGCCGCGGCGGGTTTTCAGTGTCTCCCAGCCTCGGATGGAGCCTGGGAGAACGGGAGTAGGTCCCTTATGAACCTGTTACGCGCTGGCAAAACCCAGGCGAGAGCACTCTTTCCCTCCGGTCCTGCGAGGGGCGCGGCCCGCCCCCCAAGGATTCAAGGATGGAGAATGATGAAATGACAGAAAGCGCCGCTCCGGGCTCTGCCGGCACTGGGAGAGGGGCTACCGAGGAGTCCCCGGCTCAGGGGGCCTCTGTGACCGCAGTCTCGGAGAGGACACTGCCTGGGGGTCCTGCCTGCGTGCGGGGCAGCGCCTTGGCGGCTGCAGAGCCGCGGGGCAGCTGCAGAGCCGGCAAGTTTGCAGCCGGCCCCGCGCTTCCCAGGCTGGAGCAGCCACTTGTGGGAAAGCCTCGCGCTCGGGCTCTCGCTGCTGAGTCGCGGGCCCGCAGCCCCACCGCGGAGGTCGCCCTCCCTCTCCTCGGGGGTGGGGCGGTGCAGCAAACCAGCAAGAGGGCATCCCTGGCCCCTTCGCCTCTGCACTCGGGCTCTCAACCAGCCGCGGGTGCTTCCGATTCGCCGCACTCCGGACCCCGCAGTGAAGGCGCGCGGCTGCAGCGGCGCCTGCCTGTGTCGGGAGGCGGCGAATTCGCCAGGCGACCGCAAGGAGGGACCCTGGCAGGGAAACCCGAGGGGCACAGCCTGCTTGCTACTTCCCAGGATCTACTGTCAGAGCAGTTTGCAAAGACAGGCAAAACCCTGGAGGTGTCCCCATCAGCTGTGCATGTCAGGAAAGAAGATGCAGCTGAGCCCCGCGCCTGGGCTGGGAACCCGCATCCACCATCCAGGGGGAAGGAGGCGCGCAAGGTGTCCGAAGGGGCATGGGAATTCCTAAAAGAAACGGTCCCTTCTGAGTCCTCGGGACATGGAGGAAAACGGGGGGTAGGGGGGACGACTTACTCTTGTGGGGCTCCGCGCTGGCGAATTTCAAGCCTCCTGGTTCACAAATGGCTGGAGGGGCTCGGGGTCGGCTCCCGAGGGCGGCGAGCACCGACTGGTCCCCGAGCGCTGGGCAGGCGCCTCCGGATTCCGTTCATGCCTCTCGGAGCTGCGGGGCTCGGTGCGGGGATGCGGGGCGGGCGCGCTGGGCTCCGGGGTTCCGCAGCACAAAGTGCGGCGGCTGGGTTGACGCTACCGTCCGTGCACAAACCGGCGACAGCGGACGAGCTCCGAGGAGGCAGGGAGATTCCAAATAAATCCACTAATTCCGGGCTGAGCGCTCCGGCGTGCGAGCCCGCCTGCCTGCCAAATGTAACTGTGAAGTGATGTGGAAAAGTGAGCCGGGTGCCTCCCCTGACGGATCTCATTGGGCAGAGCGCAGAGGCAGGTCTAGCACTTGGAAATTCATGTAAGCAGGCCCCCTCCCCGCCCCCGCCCTGCCTCCCCCCGTCGCTCTCCAGCGCTCGCTCGTTCCCTCTTGCCAGCTACCAAGTGGGCGCACAACTTTTCGCTCCTCGCTCCCGAGCACGCCCCGCGCGTCTCCGCCGCCAGAGCCACCGGGTGAAGATGCGCCCTTTCGTGCGGTGCGCGCAGCCCGCGGAAGGCCAGGCTCCCGGCTGAGAGGGCTGGCAGATGATAGAAGGATGCGGAGGAGGTACCCGCGAGCTTTCTCTCTCGAGTCCTACCTGAGCTCTGGGGCGAGCGTTATCTTGCAAAGCCTCTTAGTCACCCACAGCTGTTTTCCGTGGGAGGAAGAGGCTGCGACAGGGCAAAGGGGTGTGCATGGGCAGCTTACCTCCTTATTATTCCAAGAGCCTCCTGCGGGCAGAGTGGGGTGTTTGTAAGACCGCTGTCTGCTACTCAGACGCTAATATTTAGAGGTGGTGTGTGGTGGTCCTGTAGATGGAGCGCATTCCTAATATCCCCACGCTTCTACTCCTTTGGGGAGACGGGATGAGGGAGAGCAGAGGGGCAGCCCCGAGGGGCGCGCAGTAAGTAGGTGTAAAAAGAACAGCAGAACTTGCTTGGCAAATCAAGCTAGGGATTGCTAGGTCTTCTCAACGTGTCTAGCCTCCAGATCTCCTCTCAGGCACCATTCCTGCAGCTCCTCTGCGTCCACGGGGAGATGCTCTGCCTGTGGCCCCTTCAAGTCCTCTGATGGACTCCACTCAGATCTTGAGAAACGGCCACCCTGGGGTAGAGCCAGTGCAAGAAGAAGGGATCATGAATTAGTCCATTCAGGTTTCTTTTCTTCTCATCAGTGAGGCTAACAGGTAGAAATATTCAGCCACTGTGATCAACTTTTAATAAAATTAGTGAAAAATAAGATGAATTAATCTACTTTTTTTTTAAACTGCCCTCCACGGGATACCCTGATTTAGTTCATTCCTTACGTGCTAGAGGTGAGCTCTGAGGAAGGGTTTTACCAGCTGGGGACAGAGCTGAAACAGAAGCAGACAAGGATGCAAAGGACCAGACACAAGGTCTATAGAGCTTGTACTGTCTGATTCTAATGAGACAGAGTGAACAGAATGAGAAAATAGGCACAATATGCTTATAATATTTATGCAGATTTGACTTTTTTTTGTACTGCATCTAACACCCTGTTCTGAAATGTTGAAAAGAATATTGACTATAGGTCTCATATCTGTGTGTTTCACATTCTAACTGTAATAGACAAGAAACTTCGTGAATTATTGCAGAGAGGGAGAGGTGAAGAGAACCAGGAGGTATTTTCCCCTCAGGCGGTCACTAAGTAACTATTTGTTCTCTTCTCAGACTGTCTGCTTATAGGGTATTCAGGAATTGGCTAATTCTGTCTTGGAAAAAGGAACAGTAAATGCATCTCAGTCAAATTATAACTGCTGCTAGACCATGCAGTCCCAAGTGGACAAAGAAAGAGATCACATCTTGGGTTGTGCTTAATTTTCAGACATTCATTTTCACTTTGAACAAATGGTCTGAACCTTTCCTTGGGGTACCTTCTTACATCTATGAGAACTAAAGAAAAGGTTATGTGTTACTGAAGGCTAGGAATTGTCATAAGTAACAAACTCATCTCAAAAGAAAGCCAGAATGGTAGAGATAGACAATATCCTCAAATCTCATTTCCTTAAACGAAAAAAAACTATTTTGACAAAGTGAAGAGTCAGAGTCTTTAAGTACCTTGGGTTAGGATGGGTTTGTTTTGACTCGCTTTATCCACATTTACTCTGAGAGCAGTTACACACCTTGTCTTCACTGAATTTTGGCCAACTACAAGTCAAGGTAACCCTCTCTATCTGCTAATCTCTGCTCAAAGCACGGCAGTAGGAATTTCCTGCTAATTTTCTCCTAATTCTTAGGAAAGGTCAGGATGATTAAGCAGTGTGAAAGAGAATTAGGATAATGTTTTAAATGCCCTATAAGGATATTTCTAAAATAATCCAGGGATGCTGAAAGATGGGGCATTTGCCTATTTGACAATTCCACCCACTGTTAATAGGATGCAGTGTAATGTAACAATGGTGAAAGCCTAACTCCTTAAGAAACTGTTTTCTTTTCAGCATCCTCTCCAGGGTTACAGCCTTCCAGCAGGAAGAGGACTGTGCTACATAGGCTTTTTAGAGTGGTGACTGAAATTACATGTGTGCATTTTGGAGGAGGAAGGGTGAGGTATTACTTGATAGGGCAGGAGTATAATCAGAGAAGGAGTTGGGGGGGAGGGGGAGAGGAAGGATTGCATTCAGAATAACCTTGGCTGACTGATGCGCAGAGTGGGGTGAGGCAGGATGCCTCCAGCCTGTGTTTCAGTAACAGGAAGACAATTTTGCAGAGGAGTCTACTGCAGTTGAATGAGATGGAAAGGGACTCCATGTAGTAAAAGATACTTTTCTTTTGCACTATGAGTGGGACTTTTATAATTTTGACTGTGGGAGACAGTAAACCAGTACCTGGCTAGTTGGAGAGTGAAGAGTCAGATGGCTTATAGGAAGCAGAGTTCTGGAAGGGGGTGGGAGAGCAAGGAAGACTCCAACTTCTATAGTTGGAATAGGAAATGGCAGAATGGAACATATCTATTATTTGCTACATTAAAATTCAATCTTTTCTTCTTTTCGTTTCTCAGTACACAATTGAAAACTAAAATAAACTAACTAAAAACAAAGTGTTACCATGGTGTGATTACTGAGAACTTTCAGATTTATTGGATTGCTTTAAAATTTAGGTTAACTAATTAATTCATTCATTCATGGAATACCTCCTAAAGGCAGGATTGAGGAGTGTGGATTCCATGAATGAAAGGATTTTTCTTTGTGATACCTGCCAAGGATATTTCAAAATAAGATTTAAAATAAAAACGTTAAGAATGTGAAATATGAAAATGGCCAAAACATAAATGTCATACCAATTAATATGTAATATTTTCCAGGAATTCAGAGACCATTTCCCACATTTCATGTTATGGAATCCTGATGAAGAAATCTGAAATCCACCATGTTCTTTTTTTTTCTTTTTTGGTGAGAGGGAGGGAGATGTAAGTAATATATAACAACTGTGGCATTAGGCAAAAGAAACTTTGAAATTTTATTTTGAATTCCAATATCAGAGCATAAATCATAAGAATGAAAAAATTAAGAAAGCAGTTTTAAGAAATTTATAAATGTTTAAATAAGTTTAGGAAAGTTTTTGTTTGTTTTTGTTTTTTTAAGTTTAAGAGTTTGTTTTAAACCAGCCTCTGTACTAAAATCATGAAAAAATATGACAATGCTCAAGTTAACTGAATGGGAGAAGTTACAGTGGTTCTCAAACTGTGTTCTCTGGACCAGATCCTGCCTCCCTATCCTCAGGGGGCTTGATAGAAATGCAAATTCTCCTGCCCCAATCAGTGGGGCTCAGAAATCCACCTTGTAATAAATCTTCCAGGAGATTCTCTGGCTTGCTAAAGTTTGAGAACCACTGCCTCAGGCTGTTCTTTTTCTCAAGTGATATATATAAAGATGAGAAGAATAAAAATAAAGTGGTGTATTATGTTAATACTTATTGTTTTTGTCTTGGAATATTCTAAACCAGAATACTATCTTAAAAAATAAAATAAAGAAAAAGAAAAGTGTATGCATGCTAAATTGATCATGTGATCTCTTCCCCAATGTTTATTATAGGATTTGAAAAACCAAACTGATTTCTTTAGAAATGATTATAGATTCTTGGAGTAAAATCATCATTGAGCTTGGTATTGAGACTTGTGATGCTCTACATTTCTTGGTTGCTGGTTGTACCTGTCCCTGAAATTAGGTCTGGATCTCTTAATATTGACTGGAATTACTAATCTGGAACTTGCCATTATATTTTCAGTAAATGGAGGTGTAAACACTTTCTGAAAACCACATCTGTGCCGAGAGCCTTTTGGAGAATGTTTTCAAGATGGCATTATCTCCCATCTTCCCAGGTGCTAGAAAAGAGATAAGCTCCAATTCAGCTTCTAAACAGACCCTGAAGGGGGCACTAGGTAGATTTAAGGGGACTGGTACAAAGCTATCAGGTAAGCCAGCCCTGGTTTGGTGGACTACACACTTAGCATTTTTGTTGGTTTTTTTGTTTGTTTTGGTGTTGATTTTTCTGAAAGAGAACCTCAATTAGATTAAGATTTCAGACCCCTCTTGTTTAACATGGGAGCCGTGAAGAGGAAAATTATAAAAATAGTTCACATTGTGTTTTGAAAAAAGGAAGAAGAAGAAAAAGAAGAAAGGAAAAGAGAAATAGAGGGGAGCCTTTCCTCCCACCCCTCTGAAGTACTAGTAGTTTGGTATAGCAGATTGTAGTATATTAAAACATAATTAAATTTAATTGATCTTAAGTCTGGTTTAGAAGATTACCAATCCTTGAAATTTACACACTTCTACTAATGTATCATTACACATGTGTAAGGGAATACAGATGTATAGGGAGGAAAAAAGTCGCATCAGCATCTCTTATGCCTAAAATAGAGTATATAGTTCTGGTTCGTTGTTACCAAGTTGGCTGTTAGAGAGAAGACT